GAGCCTGCATCAGCGATTCCACACCAGGAAAATGTGCCAAAAAATCCAAAAACAGTGTCTTCTCCGAAACGCTCCATTAGTAACGCGAATCGAGTAAAGACATCAGCAGAGACAAGACCTGATCCTGGTTATACTCAATCGCACAATGTACCTAGGGAAGCAGAACCGCGCTATCCACGTCGCGAACACTCCAAACCAAACTGTCTGCTTGAGACCATGTGACATTTCAAAAATGAACTGGAACTGTAATTGTGTTAGTTAAGTTTCTACTTTAAAGTTCTGTTTGTGTTTTGAATTACAGACTTATTATTATGAACTGTGCTAACTGTATTAAAATCATTGAGATTAAGCTGAAGTGAAATAACATTTAACGGCTAATAGTTACTGGTAGTAATTATATTTTTCCAAAGGGGGAAAAGTGTTATGTTTGTAGTTATGTTGATGTTGTCCGTCACGGTTATTAGTATGACTGCGGTTATAATCACAACTGTATATATGTGTACTGCGCATGCTCATATGTATGTACGCTACCGCCATAATGGGATAAATATGTGCCTGTCTGCAACTCTGATAATGATGTCAGTGTACTGTTGTTCCCGACAACCTGGCAAAGACATTCAGAATATATGCAATGCATGTGGTTTAAATATTTAACTTTCTTTTAAAAACTATATTTGATAACATAACACCAATTAAAACATCAAATTTTATAACTAAATCAACATTGAACTTTATCTTTTTTTTACCAAACATTGTTTTATTGTAATGTATTTCACCTCCTGTGTCGTAATAATCTTAAGCTATCTATTTATTTATTAAATATCCGTGATTTGTGATGAAGTATTGTTTATAACACAGAAGGTTGATTCTATAGAATTACACATTTCATAATAAGTTCACTATTCAACTTACTCTACCATTACGACTCATGTATCGTTACTCGGTTTTCTTTATTAACTTTATCATGTATCCTTTCAAATAATATTGCATTTATCATTGTGAGGTATTATATATTTGAAAATGGCTTTATTTATTTGTGTCTTTGTGAAATATTCCATGGAAAGTATATTAATTTCAATGCATCTGCATCTCTAGTATTGTTTGCTATAAAATAGGAATTTTAAATGTTTTACAACAATTATAATACAAACTCCAATTTATACAACTTACTGATGTTGTAAGCGCGCAGGTGTTACCTTTTCACGTCTGATGGGGGAATCAAACCATGGCCATTGCAGTGAAATGATTACATTTTTGTAAATCTGTATTCACATATTAATGACTTTGCGAAAAAAAAAATCTTTGCAAAAGGTATGAAACATTTGCTCTTTTCGCTTTGACAAAATAGCAGCGACAACCCAAGTTGCAAACAGTATTCCCATATCATCTATTTTGATATGTTCAAAATGTTATAAATAAAAAATATAAAAGATGTGCACAATGCACAATGCACATCTTTTACATTTTTTATCACTTTTACAAATAAAACTATATTCAATTCCTCTGGTTTGTTTATATTTTTTATCATATACCTGGTTAATCTTACAAATAGTGATGCAGCTTGTTTTCAGACACCACATGCTTCCATATTTTACATTGATAATCCAAGATGTTGGAATGACCTTGCAGCAATATTTTTTGTTCGCACTAAACTAATGGGTTATGATATACACGCATACAGTGTAATCGACAATAAACAAGAGTTGGTTACGAATATTTTAGTAGTATTTTCCTGTCAAATAAAATGACGTCATCATACCGGTTACACTTTCCGAAAGCAAATCAGTTTATAGTATTATCAAGAATATGAATCGTAGATTACAGCGTTTGTATCAAAGAAAAACAACATAAGCAGTTTTTTTTATAAATGAAATAAAAAACACGATTATCGGATTTTTCTCTCTTTTTTTCACAAAAATAAAAATCATATTTGCGGTATTGCTAACATAATCCCAAACAGTATATTACAAAAATATCAATCCTTATTTTCTATGTAAATAGCAGTGAATTAAATATGTCTTTAGGCGGTTTTGTTCTTATTATTGAGAAATTGTTTTTTTATAGTTTGATTATTTGATTATTACAGTTTTAGAATCTGGTTTAGTTGTTAAAATTCAACCTTTGTTTAGCTCCGAATTGACAAGAAATTTTATTATTTCAATTGCTCCGATTACAGGGAAATATTCAAGAAACACATCATATATACATGAATCATTAGCAAGTAATATCTTATGTCATATGGTATATATGCATGGTTTACATAATTTTAGCTATGTTCAAATATTACATAGACGAGGAAACCCAGTAAGCAATCTAGACAATAAAAATTGAAATCATATTTCAATTTCAATTTTAATTATTATTATTACTTGTTAATCGTTTAAATACACCGCTAATTTTAATGTTCGATTCACAATACAAATTGTTCAATTTACCGGGATTGTAATGGTTATGGATAAGATGATTGAGTCCTGAATAAACGATTCAATTAAACAAAATTAAATCTGTTTTATTCTTGCGAATTCTAACAAAATATAGAGAAGAAGTAGAAAAGAAACATGATAAAAACCCAAAGAGCGAGGTTAATCTTATGTGTGGTACATTTGTATTTGTACAATTTAAATCATGTGTTGAGAGTATAACTGATTAAGTGTCCTTTATACAGAATCGTCACGAAACCAGAACGACATAGAAAGCAGTTTGAATTCACACGGATGCTCTTTTAATGTGCCAGATATACCTAACGATTCTGCTGGAAACAGGTAACAACGTCAATCAGATAACAACAAGACATAAATATTAACAAAATAATAAACAAATATCACAGTGCTTATACGCTTAGCAAATGTATCTATGGCTCGAAGACATCCTCCTCTACGTCAACAGTTTCCACAGGAGCGACAGATGATCGCCGTGTGATAGGTTCATCGGGTGCCTGGGATATGGAGGAGCGTTGACTGTTTTCGGATTGGTCCCCGAATGCAAACTTAACTGAGATGACAGATGAACGACGTCTGTTTTGCCTATCTCCAGGCAAATTCTGAATGGCTATACCAGAGGAGAGGCGCCTATTCCATTGTTCATTGCTGTTGAATTGAATGCCTGCAACTGAAGCCCGTCTCTTTTGTAAGTTTCTTCTTGATTGTGTTTCCATGGATACCTCTGATGGACGTCGAGTGATAAGTTGATCTCCTAATGAAGTCACAACAGATGACCGACGTCTATTAGATAATCCCGCTGAAGATTGTGCAAATAAGGCAGAAGTCGTTCGACGCATAGTAGGTTCCTCACGAACAGTCTGCATTGACGCTACCGATGTCGTTCGATGCATTGATGGCTTTCCAGCAGGTTTTTTGACATCCGTAGGAACCTTCATTGCAATTGCAGATGCAATGCGCCGCATTTCAGGTTTTGCGTTTGAGTTTTTTTCTTTCACTGAAGAAGATGTTTTTCTGCTTTTTGTTTGTTCCCCGATATCACCAATCGGACCGTCATAAGGCCGCTGTCTTGCTTCCTTTTTACCTGTTGGTATTTCGGTATGAACAGGAGGAGATACGTAATGTTTACTGAGTTCCTCTTTATACTTATGCATTGCACTTTCTGAAACTATCCTTTGCATAATTTGTTCCCCTGTAGGACTATGCCTTATATCCGGGGATGCTGGCGGAGTTTGTCTTAATAAAGAAAATGGTTGGTTGGTATTCTGTTCTTCGTAAGAGTTGGCTATAGAAAAATCAAAATCAGAAGATTCTCCTATGACATCAAAAGGAATCGCATCACACAATGTATCCCAAGTGTGTGGATCAGGGTAGGTTGTCTCAGAACTGTCGGGAAGCGGCTCTTTTGGAGGTAATGGACTTCCTGTTTTGAAATCACGCATGTCATTGAACACACCTGACGCCATCATCTCATGTCTGGATGACTCTGGCTTGTTTGTAGTTGTGGTTTCATTCGGATTTTGCCTTTTATTCATATTTTTTCTAAATCTATAAAATAATGAAGAAAAGGCACCAATAAACGGACGATACATGTATAGTATATCATATGATACGATATATGTTATTCTTATCATAGGAAAAATACGTATATACACTACTTTTAATTGATTCAGAAATGTAAAGCGTTATTTATTTAAGCATGTCAATGAAAGCAGTTGTGGTAATTAGAAATATGTCTACTGTATTTATGGAGTTATACACTCATTAGGCGCTGATTAACTGTAACTCATATTTCAAAACTTTATCATGCTGACTGATGTTTACAAATCATATCGACTTTTACTATTTGGCTACACAAGTTTGTATAAAATATTTTCACATATCTTAAATTTTGTAGAGATATGGAAGTAAGCGGTACCATACATTGCTTAGTATTGAAAATCTTGTCTTGATAACATCAATCTTGGCCTAAGAGTGACAATTACATGACGGATCATTCAGCCTGTATATATTTTGTACATATCTTCTCATATCCCAACTTAATATACAAGTTTAATTTCATTGACATTTATGGTCTTTATATATTGTTTTAAGTATTCTGTTATTCTATCCGCTTAAATGTTTAAGGTAGAAGCTGAATTGATCGTACCTTCTCTTAACAAAACACGTGATTACGATGATAAGAAATACAACTAGCAACAGCCCAGCAACCCCCGCAACTCCAAAATACGCAAGGGTGGCGGTATCCTCCTCTTCACTTTGTCTTTTCTGGACATCACCTGTTGCTGTTCATATTATTATAGTTCATTAGGATATAAATACGAACCAAAATGCTAGCACTTAATATGTGCATAGATATTTTTTGTATTATTGTGCTAGACAAATGAAATACAAGATTTTGTAGCAATATATCTATATGAGCTGTTGTAAAGATGCATCTTCACTAAAGCCATCATTTTCATAAGCATGTTTGATAATAAAATAAATGGATTAAAAAAAAATATATATAATTCCCTTATGAGAGTAGTTATTGATGATTTTATATATATATTTATAACAATATTAGTCGAGCTGGACAACAATACCTTCATCAATGGAACACATATCTGCCAAGGCAGGTGACCACGTATTTCCCTCTGTACAAGTTATGACATCAAAGTTCTTGGTATATCCAGCGAAACAGTCATATTGACAGGTCTCGTTGATAGCTCTATGACACGATGTCCACAATCTCCCATTATCGGACTCAGAAGGTGCAAGGCATTTATCTAACAAAACAGTAAACAGTTAATGTTGACTTCAATATTAGACTTTTGTAAAAAAAAAAAAAATGAATGGAAAAATTAAAACTTATAAAGTATTTTCCATATGCCGACAAAACAATGTAACGTTACACAATAGAGTATGCGAAAAACATATTACACTTCATGAACGAGCTCTTTTGTCGTCCTTAGATTCATCGGTGATGCTAGGGGTCCAAAAGGTGCAAATTTAAATTGGTATGAACTGCTACTGAAACAGTGAGTTGATAAGAGTAATTAATGAGCAAAAGTGTGTATCATAAACCTTGCCACGGCTCATAAGAGTTAATTGTTGCTATCGTGGTTGCGGCAAATATCGGTGACTAAGAAAGCCACGAGCTGTATGTACCACCTATATTGTTAAAGCTGATCGCAAGACACTCACGTGATTGCATGCATTTTAATGATATATATATTTGTATACGGTTATATTCTCACATTGTGTTGAGATTTTTCAGATTGTCAGAGTTTCATTCTGATAGGAAAGGCTTTACTTATGTCATCGCCAATTTAGCGTAGGTCCCGGTATTTTTCAAGTACTCGCGGAATTTGTACTCGTAGAATTTATAATTGTCTATGAAGTTTGTAGTAAGACTTACTGAAGTTTGAAAAATAGTGAGAAACGAGTAAGGATTGTTTTCTACTTAGGTATTGGTTAAATATGATAAATAATTGAATTTTTCATTTAGGTTTATAACTGAGACCACCTTTACAAGTGCTGAATGGAAGGATGTATCCCATGGAACTGACAATAAGGTTATTCGTTGAATATTCATCTCAAGCATTGTAATATAATGAATGGAAAGAAACATTTAACACATCGATTAGTTAAAAATTCGAATTAACCAACAGTGGAAGATATATATGCCCATTTGCAGATCTGTTTTAAAACCAAGGCTAAAAGAAATCAAAGTCAGTAAATAGAGACTTAATACAGGAAGGTTCCAGGCAGAAAATCGCATGCATGAGTTTTGAGAACTGTAACAATGCATATAACCAGTGTCATTTATTTGGTATAAAAATCTCAAGAATTTAGTGCAAAGAATTATTTTTATGCGTTACAGACGCTGTTTTGGAAAGTGGTTCTATAAAAGATAATTTGATACTTTACTTTCACAAACAGTTTGAGGGTCTCCACTCCACTGGCCATCTTCCCTGCATGTTAAGGTACTGTTGGGTATAGCACTGATAAAACCTGGATAGCACTGGAACATGCATGCTTCCTGGACTAGGCTTCCACACGGGCTGCTGAACACCCCGTTTGTAACGCCATCTTCACAAAGAATGTCTGAACATAGAACAAGAGACAGTGATAACATGGCATGTATGAGTGCTGTATTTAAGCAATACACAACAAAGATGTTGAAGACGTACTTGTATAACTGCAACATATGTCACAGACAAACTTATCAAGGAGCGCGTCTATATCTATACATTTTATTGCTAATACAGTATGTAGTTTCGTTTTTATATAAAAAAAGAAATGAGGATTTATGCTTTTCCCTACAATTCAAAACTTCCCGTTGATATCGGCCGATATCATGGACTGACGTCATGTGTTTTCTCCTACACAAATTCGAAATATAAAACAACCTAGCATATCTGACTCGTTTGTTTTTTAGTTTTTAGAAAATAAATAACATTTAAAATGAAGAAAATAATCATAGTAATTTGCATTGATTAAAGTGCTGGGGAACATTATGAGTAATCGTGTAATGCATACGAACGACGTTATTACAAAAATAACAAGAGAACACCAGAGTTTAAACAAAATCTTAATACGAAATATAAAACCGATGAAACTATGGCAAAATATTAACAGAAACGAACACCCCTGACAAAATGCCAGGGGTATATGGACCAGGTGTTTTGGAAATGTACTACGCATTCTACAAAAAGAACTTATAAAACCAAAACCAAGTAATTTCACGTTATCAAAAGAGAGGACCGAGATACTGTCAGACGAAACAACAATGCACACTAATAAGCATTATCAAACATGTCAACATATTTCATTATTATAATTCGAATCAGAATTCGAGATTCATATATACCGCTTTATCATAACCTAGTTCGTAGATTGTCTCAAAACAGTTCACAAATTATATCGTAAAAGGATATATCATATTTCGTTATGACATCATATCTGCGACCATACATCATAAGCTCTTTTTTTTCGGCCTGCAACTTTCAAAATTCCATGCTGCGTGTGCTTTAGCATTCGACATCTAGATCTACTGTGATTCAGATACAATCCCAATACACGGTACCGACGGTCCATAGGATGGCATAATATATGTATATTTTTGCAACGGCATAATCATTTAAAAAACTAACCGTTTTCACACAAGTTTGGAACACCTGGCTTTGGGTTTATTCCATCAGGACAAGCACAGGGAAATACTGTGTTTGTCTCCCTTGGAATACAGAATGCGCTACATCCATAGTTATTCGCTGAACATGCAGATGACTCTATTATAAACAGACAACATTTACATTTTCATTTGAATACAATATTAAAAATTGTATAAAAATAATGACGGTAAACTTTCATTTTCTTATGTTCTGTACTAGTAAATGATGGACAATAGTGAAAGTTTGTTAACAAATAGTGTTTAAGACATAATCACACTCTAAGCTTTTTTATCATTTAATTCATTGCTGAGAGTAAGATGAGTGTCATTTGCATTTACAAAATGTGTGTATAGTTCGTATAGCAGGTAGACCGTAAACCTCCCTACCCTGCCCTCTCCGCGTTAAGGGACGCATAGACTTTTTATATGTTTCATGAAGCAGGCTGCAAAAGAGCTTCACATTTTAAACCTTTAATATGGTTTTAATACTTTGCCTCATAATTGTTTCCCTCAGCGTGTTGGTGTACTGTGTGTAAGTGAGGATACCGTCGTAAGACACTTCGACAATCGAAATGACCATATGACGATATTCGTGATGTTATCGACATAATAAATAATGCTGTAGATTCTGGTTGGCGAGGGATATCTTCTGTATATTCAAATAAGGATATCCAATGACAAAGCAATAATTGTGTGATTTGATATACTGTATTTTGATTATAAAAAATATTGTCATATATATAAAACCGGTATCTTATGATTTTCTGTTGAATATTGGTCAATGTGATTGACTGTGACAGCGTACTTTATAAAATTGTATACCTTCCATGAAGCAGGCGTTACTTAAAGAAGGGAATATAATTCCTTTTACAATTAATGCATTAAGCACATTTTTCATTAAGACATGTTGATGCATTAGGGGTCAAACATACCTTTAAAAAAAGAAAACTGCCCCTGCCCCTCCCCCCTCCAACATTAGGAGTGTTGCAGAACGTCAAACCCCTTTAGAGTGTGGAGTGGGACCTAAGATTCTTATTGACGTGAGATTTCCAGGTGTCACGATTAAGAAAAATGACAATCACGCACCATTCAAGCTTTCTGATCAATTATCATATGCAACGGTTTCGAAAAACCTCGTATATCAGTGGTAAAATCTAATATATATGAAACTGACATTATGCTTACCTGACAGTAATGGTCTGGGGTGAATAAAAGTGGTATAAATGATTCCAATTTCTGCATTGTCAGACATAAAAGGCACCGCCATGCCAGTCAGGAGATCGTACTTTACGATTTTACTGAAGTCAAAATAAATGACTTAAAGTTTAGAAGCCGTAATAGGCAGCTCCTGCGAATTCTTTAAAAATTGTATTGATTAATGTATTTGCTAATTGTATTGATTGTATAAATTGTATATCTATGTAATGTAAATCGCGTAAGGGTATTATTCTAGATAGATAGGGTGCTATATGTTATGTTGTATATTATTATTATTCATAGTATAGATGGTAGTAAATGACCAGATATATACTTTGTAAAATTTAATTACATATGGAGTTTTCCAAAACACCGATAATACAATATGTAAATATAATCAATTTTACTAAGCGTAGATTTTGATAAAAAATTAATAATTATCCTCAAGTAAACGTAAAACCTACTTAAGATTATGAGACGTGTAGAATAAGTAGTTTTCGAGGATTTGAATTGCCAGTATACCCTTTACATCATTGAAAAGTACTGCTTCGTTTTGGCCAGTAAGGTCGCTATACGATACCCCATGACTGCGTGACCAGTACAGCTTTTCAGCTAGAAATTAAAAGATTAGGTGCCAGTTTAGCAATTCAATTCAATATGTATGATTAAAAAACATTTGCTAAAAACGGAGGATAACATACTACCAGAACATTGTCAAATAGAGAAAAACATTTTCTTTTTCTTCAAAACAAATAAATATAAACTGGATCGTAATCCCTTTTCATGATACTAAATGACGCTACATAAATATAATTAAAGCACCTTGGGCTATTGTGCATTTCGTCATTGATGACGTAAGCATAAAACATATATGCAAAGATAATGAATGTTTTACACAATTAACTCAGTGGTTTAGAGCGTTCACCAACACTCTGATGAAGCCTTGTGATTGGTTGACTCTGTCTGTACAGCTTTACTTGCGCCTGATCGAAGCGGTCATTACAATGGATGCTTACTTACTCTATACTCTCAGGCTTGGGATTTTCTGGGGATTTTTTTTTATGATGTGCAAGATAAAGATTAAGGCAAATCTCCAAATAGACTTCTTGTAAAGTGAATGGGAAAACAAATCCAATGATGGTAATGCTAACGTAACACGTTATTGCTATATACTACATTTGGCAGCTATTTAGTCAGGTGTTCTTAAAAAATCATCATTATTTTTCGTGTACCTTTTTAAACCTTATTGTTTTTATCAAATACCCGGTACTTCTTCTATTTCTAATTTTATACTTATTATTACTTTATCCATTCTCTACTGGCTTTACTAACATTATGCCAAACACGAAAAGGACTTGTTAATCGGTACCAACCAATAATAATCAATAAAATGTGAAAGTTATTTTAATATAAATGTGAAAGTTGAGAAATGGCTTAAGTGATTCATTCAGGTATGTGTATTGGACTGTTTTGAAATAGCTGATTTACAGTATGGTTTAAGTACGTTCCATATTTAATCTTATATGTACTTACTGACGTAGTCTATAGTTAGAATGGTATACCCATCGTTCGGTAGTGTAACAATAGCTCGTGGATTTGTACCATCCATTGAAGCGCGTTCAATGAAGGAGGCACTGCCATTCCCATTCATATAAAACATTATCCTGAAAGAGGAAAATCACATTTTTAAACAAAGTACATATAACACTAGTCTGACAATCTAAACTTCACTGTTTGTTGTACTGGTTTATTTAGCTGAACTCAAATAGCGTTATTTAACTGCGTGTTTCATCATTCGTCCAATATCTAGCGCTATTTAACTGCGTGCTGCATCATTCGTCCAATATCTAGCGTTATTTAACTGCGTGTTTCATCATTCGTCCAATATCTAGCGTTATTTAACTGCGTGTTTCCTCATTCGTCCAATATCTAGCGCTATTTAACTGCGTGCTGCATCATTCGTCCAATATCTAGCGTTGTTTAACTGCGTGTTGCATCATTCGTCCATATCTAGCGTTATTTAACTGCGTGTTTCATCATTCGTCCAATATCTAGCGTTATATAACTGCGTGTTGCATCATTCGTCCAATATCTAGTGTTATTTAACTGCGTGTTTCATCATTCGTCCAATATCTAGCGTTATTTAACTGCGTGTTTCATCATTCGTCCAATATCTAGCGTTATTTAACTGTGTGTTGCATCATTCGTCCAATATCTAACGCTATCTAACAGCGTGTTCATCATTCGTCCAATATCTAGCGTTATTCAACTGCGTGTTCATCATTCGTCCAATATCTAGCGTTATTTAACTGCGTGTTTCATCATTCGTCCAATATCTAGTGTTATTTAACTGCGTGTTGCATCATTCGTCCATTATCCAGCGTTATTTAACTGCGTGCTGCATCATTCGTCCAAAATCTAGCGGTATCCAACTGCATGTTGCATCATTCGTCCAATATCTAGCGTTATTTAACTGCGTGTTGCATCATTCGTCCAATATCTAGCGTTATTTAACTGCGTGTTTCATCATTCGTCCAATATCTAGCGTTATTTAACTGCGTGTTGCATCATTCGTCCAATATCTAGCGTTATTTAACTGCGTGTTGCATCATTCGTCCAATATCTAGCGTTATTTAACTGCGTGTTGCATCATTCGTCCAATATCTAGCGTTATTTAACTGCGTGTTGCATCATTCGTCCAATATCTAGCGTTATTTAACTGCGTGTTGCATCATTCGTCCAATATCTAGCGTTATTTAACTGCGTGTTGCATCATTCGTCCAATATCTAGCGCTATCTAACAGCGTGTTCATCATTCGTCCAATATCTAGCGTTATTTAACTGCGTGTTTCATCATTCGTCCAATATCTAGCGTTATTTAACTGCGTGTTGCATCATTCGTCCATTATCCAGCGTTATTTAACTGCGTGCTGCATCATTCGTCCAAAATGTAGCGTTATTCAACTGCGTGTTGCATCATTCGTCCAATATCTAGCGTTGTTTAACTGCGTGTTGCATCATTCGTCAAATATCTAGCGTTATTTAACTGCGTGTTGCATCATTCGTCCAATATCTAGCGTTATTTAACTGCGTGTTCACCATTCGTCCAAATTAGCGTTATTTAACTGCGTGTTGCATCATTCGTTCAATATCTAGCGTTATTTAACTGCGAGTTGCATCATTCGTCCAATATCTAGCGTTATTTAACTGCGTGTTGCATCATTCGTCCAATAGATAGCTGTACTTTACTACTTGTTGCACTATTATACCTATAGCTAGTTGTACTCTACTTCGTGTTCCAAGTCTTTCTTGGCAGTACTCCACTACTAATAGCACTAGTCCTCATTGGCTGTAATTCACTACTTTTGACACTAGGATCCCAAATGGACACCACTACTATTGTGCACTAGTCCTTCCTGGCTGTACTCCACTACTAAGGATACAAATCTACCAATATGTACTCCTCTGCCTTTGCCACTATGCTCCTTTAATATACTCAAGTACGTGGGGTGCTTGTTTTTCTAGTCGTACTCCACTACTTATAACGCTAACCCCCTAGCTGTATCGACTTCTTAGACCGTCCGCCCTCCAAACTGTACTCCACTACTAAAGGCAATAGCTCACATCCACCTACTTGTACTCAACTACGTATAACAATAGTTTAGCTGTACTCCACTACTTAGGGCACTAGTTCCCCTAGCTGTGCTCCACAACTTAAGGCACTAATCCCCCTAGCTGTACTCGATTATTTAGGGCACATGTCCCCATAGCTGTAATCCACTACTTGGGGCACTATACTACATCTAGTTGTAATCCAGCATTTGTTGAAGATTCATTCCACAGGCTTGGTAACACATTCGTATTAACTGTACCTCGTTTATTGTGACATATGTCTCCTAGTTTCATTTCTGACCTGTGGTTATAGTCTCTTAAACTGCACTTGTTGCCTTATTGTTCTTCAATTTATATATACACTATGCCATTTAAAGAACTGTCGATGAACAGACTAACATTACAGTCATCAAGAACTTCAAAAGCTCTTAGTTGTCACGAATGCAATAAACGCGTTATGGCTATTAGATTAATAGTATTTGTTATAGAATATATTAATAAGCTAGCTCGGTAGTGCAAAATCCTTTTCAAAACGAACGTTTCTAATTTACTACATATTGCTAGTGATATTCACCCCTTGGATGGAAACAGTGCGAGGCCGTTTACAGTCTGTAGGTCTTCTACTATCGTCTTAAAGCGCCTGGTAGATGGCTGGAGAACAATTATACTTCCGGTGTTTGGACTGTTGACACCATTCTTGATGCTGGCATACACATTACCAGTTGAGCTATCTAAGGCCAGAAAAGTCGGGTACGAATCTGCACCTGAAGGTTTAGATGCAATGATATGGTTTTGTTGTTTCATAATATTTGGATTATATAATTATTTTTTTTTATCTGCAATTTATCTAATACATATATTTCTAGTTTTTTACATGGTATATATTTACGGTGATGCTCACATGGTACAGTATATACAATGTACTACAATATATGTTCTCACTAAATAATTACATTGAAGTTACATTGTAATATGATATCTATTTCGTAGGGTAAATGGTGTATCCTTATACTGTATTTTGACAAATGTTGTAGATTTCTTGGCCTATGTATTGTATGCATGGTTTATGTTAGAAGTTAAAATAGTTTTTTGGTACGTTTATATTCAAATGGAGAAACAAAGTCTTAATACAAAAAAAAGGAATATCAATGAAAATAAAATGAATAAAATAGAATGATTAGAAATAAGAATAATTGTTTAATAGTGATAGATAAATATATACAATAAGAAAATGTATCTTGCCTTCAGAGGTAAAAACAACCTGTTCATTAGTTCCATCAATTGATGCACGCATTATCTGACCCTCTCTTATATCGGCCCAATAGACGTAAGAAGACGTTCGCTTATAAACCACACTCAATGGACGTTGTGCAGTTGTAATATCCAAAGCAATAACACTAGCATCAACTGTGGACACTTGGTAGATAATCCCGTTGGCGAAATCAGGTGCAAGTATGAAATTCTCTGATTGATAAACTGAAAATAGAGACAATATTACATAACTAAAATGTTTTGTTTTTTTTCGATTTTGTTTTGTTTCCCTATAAACCAATGAACCTACAATTGTTTATTAGTATGATATTGAAATCGTCTAGGATTAATTAAAAAAAATACCTACAATTGGAGACAAACTATTATCTCGCCATTTCAGAGGAATTTGTAGAACAGTGGTGACTTTCAAAATAATCCGCAGTATGGATAATTAGGAAACTGAAGAAACTGTATTGCTATAAACCAAATGGTGTTTGCTTATTTCTTTAAAATATAAATTACAAATATTTAAAGTTAGATCAGAAAACAGTACTATTGAAACTCATTTACAAACGCAGATCTGTATAAAACAAGACGTTGAATTTCTTACCACTAGAACAACTCTTTTGGTCTGGTTGTAGAATAAACCCATAAGAACAGGAGCATACAACTGCACCGGTTAGTCCAGTAAAACACATGTGCTCACACCCTCCATTCATGTATCGGCAGGGACCTAGATTTAAAGTATGTTCTCAAAACACAATATGTTTATACCCTAAAGATAAAAATGCTACATGCCTATACTATCTTATTTTAAATCTCTAGGGGTAAAGAAATTAATAAACCTAGCTGAAACCCGAGAATACTCGAGAACTATATATATTATATATAACAACATTTCTTTAAAATATAAATTACAAATATTTAAAGTCAGATCAGAAAACAGTACTATTGAAACTCATTTGGAAACACAGATCTGTATAAAACAAGACATTGAATTATGTATATTTATATAGTTATATGATATTCTATATGCAAAATGCAGTGAGATGAAACTGATGATTGACATATAATCTTATAAAATTAGAAAGAACTCACATGAGATATATAACTATGTGTATACATGTTTATGTTTTTTGGTTTGTTTGTGTATGTTTATGGATGAATGTATGTACGGATGGATATATTTGCACATTCCTAGGCATGGATTGGATATATGTGTATATGTGTGCATATCTGTGTGCATGCATGCGTGTATGCATGCATATGTGTATATATGTTTGAGCATGCATATATGTATGAATGCATTCTCGATTTACACATGTATATATGTTCTGATGACTTCCCTTGTAATAATGCTGTGTGTAGTAATGAAACAGTTTAGAGATCATTAGTGATACATACTGAAGTATCCTTTTGGTTTGGATTATTGCATAAACTACATGTACTGATTTGTGCTACGTTTATGCATGCATGTAGGAATGTGTTTATGTTTACAATATTTTCATATGTCATGTGTGTGTGTATGCATCCTGAGTAAATGTAAGTGTGTTCAGTATACATATGTGTGGGGCTATGTGTTTGGGCTATCGCAATATATCGGAAATCAGGTATATCGCAATACACGGGTATATTGTATTGTACAGAGATGAAATATTGCTGCATCGCAATATTGATTTAAAGCTGATTTTGTAATCGATAGTTGGTTCTTAAATCTTAAATCCATGTGATCCATATTATATATGATGATTAAGTTTGAAAACATTCTGACAACAACTTATCATAAAATCGGGCACATCTCTCCTATGACAATATATCGGGATACGTATCGCAATACATTCATTCTGTATTGCGATATATCGTGATACACTCTCGGTGTATTGTGACACCCCTAGTATGTGTGTGTGTGTACATATGTATATATGTATGCTATGTATGTATTATATATATATAATATCATATATGTATGTATGTATGTATGTATGTATGTATGTATGTATGTATGCTATAGCGTATATGTGTTTGTGTTTGTGTATATTTATATTACTATCTAAAATGTATATGTATGTTTGTCTGAAAGAAAAAAAAAGGTTCTCAAAACATGGATGACAACTCTTACAACGAACATTGTTGAAATAAATGTGAATAATTTTTGTTTATATACGTTGGTATCAACCTAAAAATATACTGAAAAAAAGTGACGACTGTAAGGTCATTATTCTTAATAACCAAACAACATTTAGCCTCCATTTTATAAATTTGTGATATAATTGACATCATGGTTTTAGATACTTACTTATTGATGAATGTTGTAGGTTGGGGTCATACACGGCCATGCCTGTCACAGTTCCGAACGTCATCGGTAGACTTGTTTGTTGTTTTTGGAAGAAATGTGTCGATATCGAGTTTAGATATCCTGTGTCACTAAACCAGATAACATATGTCTAGATGATGAAAAATAAACGGACATAATACATTATTACATTCTAGGAAGTGATAGGATCTATTTTTACATAAGTATTAAGTCAATAAACAAAATGTCCATGCAATCAAACCTTTTTAATGGATACTTCAAAACACAGCAACAAAATTACGTTAATATCGACAAACTGAAATATTGCCATTATTTCTGAAAATCATATATTGGTAAACGTTTTTGAAACATTTGTGTTGATTGTAAATTATACAAATATATTTATATTGAATCCTGTTAAATAATTGTTTCTAAAGTGACAACGCATACCTTGTAAATAACCATTTGGTTGACGTTGTCCACATTGAAGGGGAATGACGTGCTGTAACTGCCATTCCTAGTTGTCGTATTCAATGTATTGTCATCTACATAGAATAGTCTGAAATGTATCAAAGTCAATGGGACCGAAATCAGTACAGGTATTTAAACACAACAAAGCAATCAGTGTGAAACCAAGAACTTTGGAAAGGCAAATATCAGGTAAATTCCGAAAGTTCTTTTTGTACTGTAAGGGATAGTATTATTGTTTTGTTAAATTTTTATTACAACCATACAAGGTATATTATACATTTAAATTGTCTATTAAATAAGGATAATTATGCTAGGAACGAATTTAATTTCTTATTGCGTTGAATTTTGTTTAAATTGTCCAACGTCATATACAGTATACATTTGTATATAATGAAACTTGAAAATTCCACAGGAGATACTATTACAGTTTACATTGTATTGGCATGATCTTTTAGCACAATTGGCAAGAGTGATATTGATTAAAACCGTAAAAATGATCATAAAAAGATATAATTCATGGCTTTCATTTGCAAGTGTTTTTGTTTTTTGAAAGATTTGCTTTCAAAATACGTTCGAATATAAATTTCATTTTTTATCGGATGTATTTCCATGGCAGTGAAGATGTTGCATGAGGTATGGTTTTGGTTTTTGTATGTAACAAGTATAGCTCATCGTATTTTCCTCTACTGTTCCATTTCATACATGTATATTCCTTCTCGAAGCACCGTATAGTTGTTTAAAATGTAACATACAGAGAAATTATAATTGCCAGTTACAAAAATTTATATTCAAATCATATAGAAGAAGACACTTATATCTTAATAAATATATGCAGTTATTTAATTCAAAGTGAAATTATATAGACGCTATTTTGATGGGTAACCTGCAATGTCTTGCTTTGAACAGATATTTCAGGATTTTCTGATGGTCATTATATGTGTAACGGATGCGTGCCTACAGTTCTATCTTGGACCCAGTAATTGCTGTAACAAAACAGTGCCGACAATATATACAAAATAATGGCCGTCTATCTGACTCAAATATTTATTACCTAATGATTCAACAAACTACTGCCTCAAATCACTACTGCCTAATCTACACCCGGTAGATATTTTACATTAACATTAATATACCTCTAACACTAATATAGTCAAAAGCCAATTAACGCAACTGTATCTCAATATATCCGTCACCCTGTATCAACAGTAAATTGCCCCTTACTGCGACACCCGTGACTGTGTACACCCTTTACCGCGACACCCCTTGACCACGTCACCCTTTAACCGCGACTGCCTTTGGGCCAAGCCATCCTAGCCACTATGAAACCTATGCCTTGGTAAACCCTGTGTCTTTGGTACCTGTCACTGTGACTATGCACACTATCCAGTAATACAATTTATTTTGAGCATTTACTATAAAGGAATACAGTGGAACCCTAGCTTATGCAGCTAGGCCCAAACTTATTCAGCTTGGTCACTGTTTACCTTTTTAGAGGTGTTCCTTCTACTTCGACCGCCAAAACAAGAGAGAGCTCTTCAGCNATGGGTCGTATTATACAGTTTATAGTGGTAATACAATTTTGTCCTGATTTTAAGGCCGCCGTTTAAGCTTTGTACAGTCTAAAAACGGCGAGCTGATGGAACCTCTATTTATATACCTAGCCATCCAATGAACTGTCTTCTTTCATTAGCCAATCAAACTACTCTTACTTCATAATTACAAAGAAATAACTAAAGCAAGTCTATACTAACGATCATTTATTGAACAATGTAATTAACAAAGAGTCAACCGCTTCATATGTATTTGATACATAAGTTATCGTGATATATATCTTCTTTTTCGTCAAAAAACAAAACGGTGGCTCGAAATTAAAATAAAATAAATGAACAAAGAAAAGATTTACTTGAAATATATGGGAAGTATAAGATACTAATTCACCGACAACACCCGTCATGCAAATTTGGGTCAAATCTTTTCAATACCGTGCTCTCAAAATGTGGAAGGGGATTGTACAAACGAAAGCTTTAGACACACTAACGACCACACAAATCACATCGATACTTATATCGCATACGGGAGGGAGTAAACTATTCCTTAATCGGAAAATGTTGGCCACCAGAGCACTTTATCAACCTTCATTTTCAAAAAGCTGTGTTGTTATTAAGTTTGTCAGTATTCCAGATCCATCACAGAGATTCTGAAATGCATAGCAGGTTCGGGAATATCGAATCAACTACGACATGTAAATAACTTAACTCTTGACAAGAGGAACGTTGCTATCAGGAAATGGAATATTTAAGAAAACTTTCTATGTTACAGCTTAATAAAAAGATGTACTTGAAAGTAATGTAGTTAGTAAACATGGAGGTAAGCGGTTGATGAAGAGTCTACAATGCCTTTGATTTCAATTTTAGACGGTATTTACGGTTGACATTATATAAATATGACATTCATTAGCAGGTGACAGTGAATATTGTCAACCCGAGAAAACCATTGTCACCCGAGGCGAAGCCGAGGGGGACAATGGATTTGTAAGGGTTGACAATATTCACTGTCCCCTGCTAATGAATGTCATATCTATGTTGTTACACCAAAAGTCTTTGTAGCGCAGAAACGTCAGCAAACCTCGATAATGACATCTTGTGTATTGATATTCTGCTTTTTACAATCGCTATCGCAGCGGGGCTTGATAAAATTGGCTGTTGCCGTCAAACGTTCTTGTGACCATCATGGTGGGGAAACGAAGCGGTGCACGCACATTTTTCACGCATGTGATATTTTTCACTGTCTCATGGCAATATCACCCGTGCCCCTTAAAACCAATGTATTTTCGGGGGGAGACAGAGATTTTTGTTTAATTTTCTCCCAACCAATCAAATAGCTAGAAATTCCCTTGAGGTGCAACAATATAATTTATTACGGAGCAAACCTGTCCGCCATTCAAAACAATTTGAAATACATATATTTCAAGTTTCAAACAATGTGTAAAAAATAAATGAAAAGAACTACTGTATAAGTAATCGACGCTAGATATCAAAACATGTTTTAAACGTTTCAGTATAAAGAAAAAAAACATTATTACAGGGTTACACACCTGTTGCTTGTGATGTCGTAGAAGAGACTTCTGATAGATGATGTTTTGAACTGTTTCAATACTTGAGCAGAACTGCTATCGGTAAGTGATTTGAACATAATTTGCATGGACGATCCTCCAGTGTCTTCAACCCAAAACAGCGACCTTTGCAAAAAAGGCAACATCTTCAAAGCAATTGTTTGCATAATTTGTTAGCATTTTTTTTCTTTCTAAAACTAGGTTTAGATTAAATAGTTTAACAAGTATCAATTTAAATGACATGAGTAATTTGCTCGGTGGTTTAACTGACTTTACGAAGTGCACTTTAGATTGTATTCGATTTTATAGATGTCGTTGATTTAAACAAACAATACATTACGTCACAAATGAAACAAACCTGCTGTGCGGATCCACAGTTACCAACGACGGTAGTGATGTTGTCTGTGAAATGACCATGACAGCGTTGGTTTGGAGTGACAAAGCCTTAACTTGACCGGAAGTTGCCTCTGTCCAGTAGATATGACCATCCGTCCAGTCGAATGTTAGACCTGTGCGGATGATAAATAATATACATTAATTCACGAAAAATTTAAATAATTTGAGATAAATTTAGTTGTACAGCCGTTTCAAAAACGCATGGTGACATATATACGAAAACAGAAGTTTTGATCTTGTATTTCAGAACGTAGTAGGATATCACAGAAAGTATCAAATAAGGATTCCGAAAAGTATTCGACTAAAAGTCCGAAAACTAAAAGAACAATTGGCTTCACTAAACAGACCAAACAACAAAGGATCATTCAAAGTTGGTCAATATAAAATTTGTTTATGAATATAACTCTTTCATTCTGTAGGAATTTGAATACTCTATGTGGAGGCGTTTAACTGCAAATTGCTATGGAATCATTGTTTCTATATATTTTAACACGTGCGCTGCCTATTATTTATTGCATAGGTTTTATGCAAGAAAGGTACATACGGTCATATTAATGTCTCTATTTCACATATAGAGCCATATATAGCAGTAGCTATGTCCCTTAGCATAACATTTCTGCGATCGCAGTAAGGTAAAATCATATTGGGATGTTGAACAAATGATTTTTAAAATATAAAGAGAGCGAAAAAAAAAACACAAGAAAACAACAACAACACCAACAACAACCCATCAACCCAATCGTTATAGTTTTGTTTTCGATTTTTTTTAACATACCGGACACATTAGATGCTGCGGTCAATGGTCCAATCACGTTCGTAGTAAGGTCATATCCGTTAATTGTGTTAGCTACCGAGTCTGCGTAGAAGATAGTTCCAGTAGATGCGGCTACGGCCAAGTGTCTACAAACTTGACCAATGCTACTTAAACAGAGGAGAGGTTCTGTATGGCCTGCTGAAGCTCGGTAATCAAACATGCAGATATTGGTAGCATTGCATAGGAATACTCCCTTGCCGTAGAGATGGTTGTTCACTATTGTGAAAGAACGAACATGATACACGTTGGTAATGACGAATGGAATATTTGAAAGGCAGATTGTATTTCTGTAAGTGGTTATTGTATCACAGGAAAGCTGTATACAACGGAACGACAAACGGAATGCTGATCGTTTAAAAAGTAAATGTAAAAGTAATGCGGATGGCAATTCCGGAATAATCGTTAACTCGATCACCCAGGAAATACGAGCCTTACAAACCAAGCCTTATAAATATTAATTCCTTAAAGAACTATGCAGTATCGTTCTGTTTGTTATAAAAAATGACTTACTGTCTCAGAATTATAAAACTTACTATGAACAGCGGCAAAAATGTGAAAGTAGTTCCTACCATTACATACACCTGCTGTGTCCATTGTGTACCCCTCCTTACACATGCAGGCACTGATGGAGGATAGCTTCACACAGAAGTGTTCACACCCCAGCATCGGACAGTTGTCTGAGCAACAAAATATCATACTTTTATGGCAAAATTATTTACTAGAAATTTATGTTCAAAGGTATTTTATTTACAATAAAATCAAACTGAATTTAACGGCAGATCTAGTCTATAAAAGAAACGTCTGCAGAACTAAAACTTTTCGAACATAAATAAAGTAAAAAGTGAACATGTTTTCTCACCTTTTAATTTCATTTAGGATATATGCTTACTATTACATCTCCAAGCCCTTCTCGCTTTATCTCGACAGTCCCTAAACTACCCACACTAGCATTAATTTTCAGTATCAGAGCAGATATGCATGCGATATTTGTTTCATTAACTATCTTAAATAAATATGAAGCTACACCTTGCCTACTAATACGCTCTCTCCTAATATATATACACGCAAAAGTATTATGTCAAAAAAATCTCAACCCTCGGGGTAAGATTCTTCAACGCATGACCCTTGGCGAAGCCTCGGGCTAGACCTTTAAGAATCATACTTTTTGGGTTAAGATTTTGTTCTGTCTTACCCCAAAGTGGGAGAAGATTATATTAATCGTGTGAAAAGTGGGAGAATATCACATTTGAGATTATGCAATGCCTCTTTTCATAGAAGAACTGTTGAAATTTAATAGATTGATAATGCTTTTATAAGTATGAGTGCGCATTATCCAAAATAAAATATATGTTAATGAATGCTTGAGCATTTTCTCATTACCTGTCATGGTTGGCTTCAATTCCTGTTTGTATATGGATATAAGCTTCGGATTGGATGTTGAGAATTCACTGAAGCGAGTCAGTTTGACGTCGCCTGTCGATTTGTGAATACAGCGCCAGGACTGTTCATCGAAAATGGTAGCACAGACGTAGTCCTAAAATAAAAATAGATATTAGTTATAGATGTAACTGAAATATTTTTCTCCCAAAAATATCGAGTCCGTTATTTTCTGTTGGGACAGACATATTTCAATTTTCACTTATATACAAGGACTAATCAATATAATCTATATACATGATATAATTATAAGCAGGGGACAGTGTGTTTTATAGATTAATTGCAATGTAAAGGTTTGAACCCTGCAGTATTCCAGAATTTCTTTTTATTTCTATTTTCGAACATTCAAATTTCGGAGAAAAAACTTGGACTTATCGAGAAATGTGATTTTTGTTGAATACGTATAAAAGGACCTGTTTTAATAACATGTTGCTACCATTTACCTTAACATTAAACACAGTCACATATTTCTTAAATTTCGAAATGCTATATTACCATGTCTATCGAAATTGATCTGAAGAACATGTTGATCCGTTTGTAAATGATCCTCCTATCACTGCCGTCGTACTTTGACGACTCTATCGTGTATTTCCTGGCATCTGTCCAGTAAATCCTCGAGTTTACGGGGTCTGTCTCTATGTCATGGACGCTCAGCAAACTACGGGTGATGACGCGTGTGCGATCACTGCCATCTAGGGATGCCCGCTCTATCCTGTATCCGGAAGGGTTTATATCAAACCAAAATATAAATCTGAAATACAATCAGAACGGAAAGTAAGACAAATTGGAATCTATAATATCCATATTCGTAATCAATGGCCCCGCTATCAATTTACATATTTTTTCTACACCTTTGGAATTTGTCATGACGAAATGTAAGGCACGCGGTGAGCCATTCGATTGGACAATACAAAAAAGACCAATCGCTAGTTAGATACATTTTATTTAAAGATTACAGAGTAGCGTCGCTTAACTTCAAAGCCGGTAAAATGATTTATCCCTTATGTTTCTGGTTAATTATTTTGATATATGTATTTATCATCTATATACTACTTTATACCACCTACCGGTAGCATGAAAAATTCATTATAATTGGTTGTCAGTATGAGAAGAAGTTGAGAACAACTTGAGAGCAACTTGAGATGAAACGGATTTTCTTATACCCCAGCACTTGGGAACGTATTTTCTCAAAAAAGAACGTCTGCTCGCGCAAGATGACGTCTGAAACCGGAAATTGTGTCCACACAAAAGTGATCCGCGTAAGAAAATATTCCGTCATAAACATATCAATACCAAGTTACGGAAAAATAGTGGGAGAATAACAACACCATTTAAGGTGTAATGTGCATATGGAAAAGCCAATGATGATAGGATTGGTTTTAAAAAAAAATATTCTAGATTAATGGAGAAATAAATGTAATTCTGAAACACCGCCACGATAATGAAAAAGAGGGAAGTTACAATAAAATTATGCAATACCACCACGAGAAAGGGAAACAGGGAAGTTAAAATATAGGTGTTGTCAATATCTATTTTTATATATATAAGAACATATATATATTAATGGTAGCATGTGGCTGATGTATTGATGATTATTGAGGATGCATCTGTTGACGATGATGATAGATTGATAGAATGATGATGTTGACGATGATGATAGATTGGTAGAATGATGATGTTGACGATGATGATAGATTGATAGACTGATGATGTTGACGATGATGAT